AACATTTCATTTTCAATATCAATGTTCAGAGCATTTTGTACTGTATTTTGTACGGGAGATATACAATATGTATGGGATATACTGTACACTGATTATGAATGGTGTGGTATGTCGTGGCGTCGGTATAGCGACTGATTTGCTATGTGTTTAATGAATGGTTAAGTTATATATCGTATGCGAGGGTTTAGAAAAGTTATATAAAAAGTATACCCTTTTGATTGATATATGGGTTTTAAATGTTTGCCATTCGTGTGATTGTGTGCTTTCAAAATACATGTGCGGAGAGAGAGAGAGAGAGAGAGAGCAATATTAACGATAATATAATGTACACAAGAATTTTACAAACATATGAAGTGATAAAAACATAGCAAATCTCCAGATAAGGCATACTTTTAATGAATAGTTTCTACTTATAATAAGTAGTAATAATTCGGTATATAATGTAATAATCACTTGTGTTGTCTAGTAGTGGATGTGTGTGTATATGTGTCCTATCATATATAGATTAGGGATAGTCTAGCGATATGCAGACCATTGGCCGGGGGTGTGGGTGCCCACAGACATATACAATTAAAATACACTCGTAATCGGGGTAAACCCAAAATGGAAAACAAATATTTACAAACATACATGATTAGTTTTAAACTTTTACCAATAACTATTTCATTTACTTGTCATTATATACTCAATAAATATCAGTCTATTTGGTAGGGGGGTTACACATACCCTTCATTCCCCATATATGCCTGATATTACAATATATGCAATAAATAACACAAAACTACTTGAGACTAAATTAGTAATGTATTTAATATAAGCTAAAAAACATGCTTTATTTGCCAATAAAAACAAGTATTAAACACAATATAATAAATGCCAATTAATCCGGGTAATAATAATAAGTCTTTCGCCGTAAATTATGACAATATAATAAATGCCATGCTAAATTATCCAATTGCTCTTGGTAATTAAGTAACATAATAAACATGGTTGAGTTATAAATTACTGTAATAAAATGCTGTACAAATACTGGGGCCCGGAATTTAGGCCAAACTCGTATACATTTTGCTGCTATTCCTCCAGAATCTAATCCATAAAAACTTTGGCACAAAATAAATGCTTTTGCAATAAAGACAACAATTTTCTCAGTGATGTCTCACTTCATCGATCATTGAATGATTAAAGAATGAATGAATGCAATAAACATATGCAGAGAGAGAGAGAGAGAGAGAGAGAGAGAGAGAGAGACCATTGTACCAAGAATTAGTTACAAACAAAATATATAACAATACAAATAAAAATAGTTAATTAAATCCATAACAATATCAACAATAAGAGAAAGACTGCAAAAACAAACACTAATCCGGAAAGTCTTGGGATTAATACTACTTTACAATCCAATAGAGATGTAATGTAAATACAAATATATATTATGTCAGCAATAATACAAAAAAACAAAAAACCAAATCTGCAGAAAACTATCTTAAAACAAATCTAGCTAAAAAATAATCACTCAATTAACTATATAAATACAGTATTAATTATAAACAATATTGGCTTGGTGATTTATCACTTGAATTTCAATCAATCATCTAACTAAATTAATTCAAACAACTCAATAACAATAACCATAATAAAAAATGTATAAATAAACAATGTAATAATTAAACTAACCTTAAAGGGCTTGGCGTCCACACCGGCGGCTATGGAGTGGGAACGGCCGCGAAAAATATCAATCATACGGGAGACGGCGCCGGCCGACCCGCTGGAGCCGCTCCGTGAACGGGGTCGGCCCTCCTGAGCCCTAAAGGGGCTGTCGGTCAACAGGAATGGGTCGAAGTGGTTGGGCGTGACGGGGCAGGAGCTTTGCTTATGATTATTATGGTTATTATGATTGGCTGTGCCGGAGCTGCTGCCGGTGCCGAGCAGATTATTCTTGAGCGTCGCGATCATCGATGACTTTTTGGGCGCCCGCGAGTCGCTCGTACTTCGCGGCCGGAATGAGTCCAAAAAACTGCTGGAACTCGGGCTGACCCTCGACCTGACGTACTGACCGCCGGCACCGGTGGCCGCCTCCGAGTCCTCCGACTGGCGCCGATTGATTAGCCGATGACTACCGCTAACACTGCCGCCACCGCTGCCGCCGCTTCCGCCCCCTCCCAGGCCGCTGATGAGCGCCGAGTGGCGTACGTTTGGCGATAGGGATATGGGATGCGATGGTCCCGATAGTGAGCGCATCCGCTGTTTGCCGACGATGTCCAGCGTGTCGTCCGGTGTTTGTAATGAGTGCGACCGTCCGGTGACTGGCATTATGACCGGTGCGCTGTTGGGCCCGCAGTCGTAGTCCTCGGTTATTATGCGCGGTATGGATAGTGTCGGCTCCTGTAATGATAAATACATTTGGGTTTTAGTTATGTGTGGTATTCACTGATTATAATGAATATTTTGAACGTATATTTCATATAAAGTTTAAAATAGTTGTTGTTTTGTAAATAAATTTAATTGTTTGTTAATTACACCCATTGGACGACAACAGACTAGTCTAGACAATGTATTTTCCATAGAATTAATTAAGTAAATCTCTAATGGTTAATATGAAAGTTGTTTATGGCTATAAGACTAAATTCATAATGGTTTTTAAAAATTAAAAGTCAATTTATAAAATTTTTAATATTATTTTTGGCCATTTTTATAGTGCATTTAATTATCTAATTTCCAATCAATTCATTTTCAAAACAATATTTTATTGCTGTTAAATATATTAATTAACAAATTATTATGAAATAAATATGATTTAAGTGAGAGAGAGAGAGAGAGAGAGAGAGAGAGAGAGAGAGAGAAACAAAATATATTGATTACATAACTTTATAAGTTATAAATTATAACTTTCGACAGATATTTTTTAATTGCGATATTAAAAACTTGTAAATATTATTCACGATAATAACAAATAAAATAAATTTTGTAATTTAATTAATTTATTTAAAACTTTCTTTTCCTGTTTTTCTTTCTACTGAAATGCGTTTTTAATTAATTAAAAATAATAATTATAAATAATTTTCCGCTAAAAACACTCGCAAACTAACATTAAAAGCGGATTAAAATGTTATTATATAATACTTATGAATATTCTGTAAATGTTTTCAACACAAAAATTGATTATTATTTTCAAAACATGATTGTTATAAACACTAATGATATCCCTTTAATGAGAGCTCAAGTATATTATAGTAATGTGTGGACAAGTAGTCAATGAACAACAAAAATAACTATAAAAACTAATTATATAATGACAACCATTTTCACCAACAGTAATTGCCCACCACTTTATTATATAATATACAGTATAAGTCCATTTAAATATAATATGTGGCAAAACAATATATTTATAATTAGTATTGTTTTTGTAATTTTAATAATAATTAATGACATATAAAGCTAATATAAATAACAGAAAATCGTGATCGTAATTATAGTTAACCATTATGAAAATCTATTAATAGTCATAATATATATGAATAAGCAAATCATAAGTATCTTTCTAATAAAGAGGTTCAATTATCAAAAGTTAAAGGTGACTAGAACAATTATAAATCAAACATTAATTGTGCTATAGTTTTGACTATAAATACAATACAAAGGATTACAATAATAATGTTATTAAATAAAATAAAATATAAGACATGATTATATGAATATCATATCAAGTATACATCTAATTAAAGGCAGAAAATTCCTGGTAAACATACGTATAATATAGTATATAATTACTGTATATACATAGACAATAAATGTTGATATCAGGGACAATTAGGGAAAGTGCATGAAAGCACATGATAAAATGTATGTTCATTCACTCGTTAAGACATTGAATGCACTTATAATACAATGCAATGGTTGTTATTATATGGGATATCAAGTAAAACACCAGCAATTAATTAAACAAATACTTGTAAATCATGTGAAAAGCAATTAAATATAATACGGAAATATCGATAACATTGGCAAAAAAAATTAATTACACAATTGTTTTGTATGTTATTGTATATAAAATATTTACTAAAAGCAAATCGATGGAAGTGGATACCTTGGTCATAAATTAAATACCAATTTATCTAAACATGCATATTTGTTTTTGTTTAACACCTAAATGTGTTATGCATGGATAGTTGCAACATAACTAAAACTAATCTAACTAAAATCCTTAGAAAAACATCCATGGCTTAACATACTGTATACCCTAGGTGCTTTTGGTATCGTGTGAATGGCCAGTGTATGTGCTCTTATTTTATGCCAAAATTATATATCATGGGATTATGCGATGATATGTCCACTTGTGATATATTATTGAAAATCCTTATATAAAACACACTCTTTGCAATATTTGTTATTGAATTACAAACAACTAAACACTTTCTCAAACACTTTAGATCGTGATCTTTATTTGAAGGGGAAAAACAAATACTAAAAAACTCGTCAATACTTAACGACAATTGCGAGAGAGAGAGAGAGAGAGAGAGAGAGAGATAGAGA